AGGATCAAAAACAGAAGTTACTGGAAAAGCTCAGCAGGTCTGGCAGCATCTGTGAAGAAAAATCAGAGTTAACGTTTCGAGTCCGGTTCTGAGGAAGGGTCACCGGACCCGAAACGTTAAGTCTGACTTTTCTTCACCGATGCCACCAGACCTGCTGAGCTTTTCCAGCAACTTCTGTTTTTGTCCCTAAAAAAAAATCGATGCAACTGTTCTCCTGAAAAGTCCCTGAATTAATCATTTCTTCAAAATTAGTCTTCATAGAGAGAGAGCTTTTCCTTTTCATTTAATTAGTGTGTGCGTGTGCATCTGTGGTGTTATTTCATGTAAATATTTATGCTTCCAATTTCGAACTTTGTCTAAATAAGCTTTACATCTTCACCGAATAAGTCCTGTTCTTTTATTTTTTATCTCTCATTTTATTAATTAATTAATTTTTTTATTAAAGAAAACTGGTTGATCTTTTAAAATTCAAAATCTAATGTATAGAATTGTATATATTATCAACTGGGCAAAACATTTACATTTATATGATGACCAGTGGAGTTTAGGGACCAGGCACTTTTCAATCTTGGTTGTGACACCAATGATGAGGATACTCAATCTTGCTCTTGCATTCCTACCTTGATGTCTGAGATGGAGTTGCTACTGTGCTGCCCTGCCACTTCTAGAGCCTCCTTTCCCGGGCTGCTAGAACCATGAGAAATGAGATTGCAGTGTCAATCCTTACCTTCTTTCTTTGAGCCTTTTCAGCTCTCTATTCATGCAGTAAAAAAAGAGGAGGGATATTAATTACCCCACAGTAATTTCTAAGTGTGTGGGAATCTAGCCATGCCACTCTGGGTGGGGGGCACCTGAGTGCTTCGGGCATTTAGCCACTCTGTAGTGACCTTGCAAGGGTTCGACAGACTAATAGAGAAGTTCCCATTGACTAAACTGCATCCATTCCTTTTATAGAGGCCCTGACCCCATTGCACTGTGAATGGGCTCTCCCTCCCCAACAACCTGTTAATGTCTGGACCTGTTCATAAACAGACAGGAGCTGAGCTGAAAGGTACTCACCTTGGTGTAATGAAGGAGGCTATTTATTTGCTTGCAGCTCTGCCTCCAACTCCACGATCTCCTGAGAACCGCTGCGGGAATATCTGTCCAGGCTTGCTTGGACAAGGAAGTCTCTAGTTTCTGTCCTGGAGAAATGGGCCTCCCACCTTTCCCCAGTCACTGGGGTAGAATGTGCTGGGAGTCACCACTGAATTGCAGGTTTACCCATGGATTTACTTTCTACTGTATTGACAAGCCCCTCAATCTTCAGGCCCTCAGCACACTGCTGCACTGCCTTCCCAACCACTGGCAGGTAGGGTTGGGTCTTCAGGGAAGAATCTTAAAAGATGGCAACAACACATCTCTCAGCATCAAATGACTCAGCAGCAGCCTCCTCAATGCCTTTCCCTACCCCCAGAGTGAATGGTCTGGACAGAGAAAGAGAGACAGGGAGAGGTAGAGATAGTGGCATGATCAGGAATCAGGCCAGAGGCCCCAGGACCACCAGGTTCCACATTTGGCGGCTGTTTCTTGATGCAGCACAGAAAACTGCTACAAAACGTCTAAACGCAGCACAGTAGAGAAAGCAAATACAAACCTCAAGGTGATGCTTGAGATTTTACTCATTTAATTCCCATAGATTTGATTTGAATGATTTGATTTATTCTAGTCGCATGTACCTAAATACAACGAAAAGCTTTGTTTTGCGAGCAGTATATGGAACTGATTGGCCTCATTCTGCATCTTGGGACTCCGTTCTGTTACTATGATTTAGACTAGAAACCCATGAAACCCTTCCTGCTCCCTTATACCCATGATACCCTTATCCAACTGAAACCTATTGATCTCAGTTGTGAAAGTGTGAATTGACCCCTTCAGCACCTTTACACCATGGACCCAGTAATGAGCATTTGTATCAGAGAGTTCCAAACTTCTACCTGCCTTTGCAGGTAAACTTCACTCCTGAAAGATCTGGCTCCAATCTTTAAAGCTACAGTTCCCTAAACTCCCCAGACAGTGTAAATAGCTTTGAAAAATAGTTGATCAAATGACTGCTCAACTTTCTGAATTGCAGGAAGCTACCTGCAGTTTGCATAATCACTAATCAATAAAAAACAGAAAGTGTTGGAGAAACTCAGCAGGTCTGGCAGCATCTCCGGAGAGAGAAACAGAATTAATGTTTCGAGCCCAATGTGAATTGTTTTCAGCAGGTGATGCCAGATCTGTTAAGTTTCTTAACCATTTTCTGTTTTTATTTCAGATTTCCAGCAGCATTTTGCTTTTATTTGTTCAATCTCTATATTATGTCTTGCGTTTAATCCTGGGAGCCCAGGTTTCATTCTTGTAAATTCACGCAGCATAAGACCAATTTCTCTCCCTAAGGCTCTCAAAAGGAAAAGGAACTTTCTGCAGAACAAACAGCTCAAAGTACACTGGGAGAAATATCAAGGAATTCCACCTGGGCTGAAGTGTAAGGGATTGCTTACCTTGAGGTGGAATAACAGAGGGCCATCAGCGCCAACTCTACCAAATCCTCCCACAATAGTCTGACCCTGCCCTGCATCTTTTGGGATAAAATTACACTGAGAGAGAAAGAAGCCATGAACATGGGTGAGTTTTGGGATCTTACCATAGTGTCTGTTGAAAAGTTGCAACTGGTTTGGAGAAATTCAGATGCCAATCGCAGAAGAAGGAAAAGAAAAACATAATTAAAATCACATCATCTCAAGGTGTGGAAGTAAAATGAAAATGCAAGAAAAAAGGATACCAAGGGTAATTATTTTTAGCCCTTTTTAAAAATGTGGCATCAATTGCCTATCCCTAGTTGAGTACTTTGCAAGGCCATTATTCATAAACCACACTAATGTAAGAATGGTGTCTATAGCTCCCCTCCAGTTGAGGACAACAGATTTACTTCCATTGAGCTATATTTGGCTTTTTTGATGTTCTAACAGCTTCATAATCAATTTACTGGCACTGGTTTTTCTATTCAAATTGCCCTGATGGAATTTGAGCTCACACTCTAACTTGAGGGCAGCACGGTGGCTTGGTGGTTAGCACTACTGCCTCGCAGTGCCAGGGATCTGGGTTCGATTCCACCCTCAGGTGACTGTCTGTGTGGAGTTTGCACATTCTCCCCGAGACTGTGTGGGTTTCCTCTGGGTGCTATGGTTTCCTCCCACAGTCCAAATATGTGCAGGTTAGGTGGATCGGCCATGCTAAATTGGCTGTGGTGTTCAGGGATGTGTAGATTAGGAGGATGGGTCTGGGTGGGATGCTCTGAGGGTCAGTGTGGACTTGTTGGGCTGAAGGGCCTGTTTCCACACTGTAGGGATTCTATTAAAATTAAAATTGATACTGGTCCAATTAAATCACTGTGCACCTAATTCAGATATTGCTCTGCAAACTCTCATGTAGCCATGATATCAGAATGTCACGATAAGGAACTTGTTCCTTTAATGGAACCACATGGACCAGCCCACCAGTGTCTGGATATCCTCCTACAAAGATTGCCTTTCTCTTTAATATATCTCACCTTGAAGTACTAAATCAGCAGGTGCTTGGGAACACCATCACTTCAAGTCACACTGCAGCCTATACAGAGCTGCTTTGTCACCATCGCAGGGGCAACATCCTGGAACTCACTACCTTGCAGCAACGTTATCATCTGGCCTGCAGCAATAAAATAACACTTACCATCTCCTCTGCAAGGGCTACCTGGGCAATAAACCTCAGCTCTGCCAGCAATTCCCACATCCTCTGGAATGATTTGTCTTTTTAAAACAACAATTAAGGGACAATGCTAATCCGAGGAGTTTCTTTAGAGTTCATGGATTACCTCCTTGTAAATTATCCAAGTAACTCTGCAAGTCCCTTTGTCCTGCTTCTTCAAGGATTTATGTTTTCTTCTGAATTATCTGGCATGAGTCTATGTGTGTGCTTATTTGTTTGGAGATGAGCTGTGCTGTTACATTTTATTTTACAGCAAGAAATATAGTGCATTCATTATGATGTCAGTGCCTACTCCTATGACATCATTCCCCACAGCAATTTATTTTGCCAATTTGTTCCCCTCTTGTGGAGCTCCCGTCTCTCCTATGGGGTGGGGTTCCCGTTGCACACTGCTATCCTGCCCAGATGGGCACTCATTATGCACTTAGATAGCTAAGTAGGTATCCCAAATCCCAAGAGTCAAAAAGTCATGATTCAAGTCTTACTCTTGTGGCCTTGAATGTGCAGACCAAACTGAAGATCCCAGTGCATGACTGAGGGCACTGTACTTGGAGCATGCACATATTGTGGTGTCATCTTATGCATGCATCTTATTCTACAACAGCAAAGGATGCTGGATCAGTTAATTTTAAATGTTAGATAAATTTTTGCTAAGCAAAGATATTAAGGGATTTGGGACAAAGCCAGGTGCATGAGCTAGGCCACAGATCATCCATGATCTCATTGAATGGTGGCATGACCTCCAGGGCCTGAATGACCTGGGATGGCACAGTGGTTAGTGCTGCTGCCTCACAGCGCTGGGGACCTGAGTTCAATTCCACCCTCAGGTCACTGGTCTGTGTGGAGTTTGCATGTTCTCCCTGCCTTTGGGTGCTCCTGTTTCCTCCCACAGTCCAAAGATGTACAGGATAGGTGGATTAGCCATGGGAAATACAGGGACATGGTAGGATGCTCTTCAGGGGGCTGGTGCCAACTTGATGGGCTGAATGGCCTGCTTCCACACTGTAGGGATTCTAGTAATCTGTGATCTTCTTTTGTTCCTAAATGCTAAACTAAGACCAAACCTGCCCTCTTGAGCGGATGTAAAAAATCCCATGGCACTATTTTGAAGACCATTTCTTCAAAATTGGCTGGCACATTTCCCACATTACATTTCAGCACTTCAAAAGTACATAAGTCTAAAATATTGTGGGCGCTGGGGGTCTGAAATAAAAGGCATTTTACATGTATTTTCAATTTATTATAATTTATTAACAATTTATGTTGAGCTGTCATCTGCATTAGAGAAATTAAACAGAGATTGGATGATCACATTGTGAAAAACCTTTTCTTAAATTTATTCATACAACCAATGTGGTTGACTGATCCAGAATTTACTGCCTATCCCTAGCTGCCCTCGAGAAGGTGGTGGTGAACTGTCAGCGTACCGTAGGTACAATGTCATTAGGGAGTTACAGAATATTGATCCAGCCTCACTGAAGGAACGTCATACAGGGTGGTGAGGTTCCCATGCATCTGCTTCCTTCCAGGCGGCAGTGGTCATGGCCTTGGAAAGACCTGAATAAGGACCGTTGGTGAATTTCTGCAGTGCATCTTTTAAAGCATACACACTACTGTCACCGTGCATCAGTGGTGGAGGGAGTGACTATTTGAGGATGTGATGCCAATTAATCATCCTAGATGGTGTTAAGTTTCTTGAGTGTTGAGTTGCACTGACCCAGGCACGTGGGGAGTATTCCATCACACACCTGACTTATGCCTTGTAGGCGATGTGCAAAAACTTTGAAGAAAGTATCAAACATAATTCCTGTCACACAACATTGAGTACACTGCCTGATTGTATTGTCATTTTCTCTTAATAATAGGTTCCAGCATTGACAGGTTAACTGGTGTGCAGCCTTCTCTGTACTGTTGCCCTCCTTCCTTAAACAAAGGTTTAACATTTGATTTTCTAATTCACCAGGGCCTTTTCAAAATCTAGGGAATTATGGAAGGCTTTGATCATGGATTCATTCATTTTCTCTGCGACCGATTATATTTATATTTAAGGATGCACTCCAATTAAGTCCACATGGTAGGCGAGTCTAAAACTAGCAGGCATAGGTTTAAAGTGAGAGGGGAGAGATACAAAAAGGTCCAGAGGGGCAATTCTTTCACACAGAGGTGAGTGTCTGGAACAGGCTGCCAAAAAAATAGTGCTGGAAGCAAGTACGATTTTGTCATTTAAGAAACAATTAGACTTGTACATGGATGGGAAAGGTACAGAGGGATATGGTCCAAACATGGGCAAATGGGACTAGTTTAATTGTGGAAACTGGCCAGCATGGGCAAGTCGGGCCGAAGGACCTGTTTCCTTGCTGTAGGCCTCTAAACTCTAAGTCAAAGGAACTCATCAGCCTTCAATCCCATTAGTTTTGCTACTACTTTTTCTCTCACAACCATGAAGTTCCTCCTGTCTTGTTGCCCTTTAGTGTTTCACTTTTCTTGGGATTGTTGAGATTTCTACCATGAACACTGTTGCTACTTGTATCTACTCCTCTCAGATCTATGGTCATGGTATGTTATTGTTTTGCATTGCATCGCATCATCCTATTTGCTTCTATCTCATTCATTCCGATTTTATCCTCAAAAGAACTAGTTTACTTTAGCTACTCTCTTCCTTTCTATATACTTGCCAAACATTTTGTTGTTTATTTTTAATATTTAGCCTTACTCGCATTCTAATTTATCTGTTTGCAGGATTGCACATTTTCTCTGGTTCGATCAACTTCCTTCCTTAGGCTTTGATGGTACATACTTCTTGTTGAGTTTCTCAACAGAATTTCTTGTTGTTTTACAAAACATCTCCTTAAATGCTTGCCGCTACTTATCTATTGTCTAATTTACTTTCTTATTCTACATCTAGCCAACTAGGGCTTCATTCCTCGTAACTGCCTTTATTTAAGTTTAAGACTTAAGGTTTAACAGTTCAAAGTATTCTTCCTAAGCTAAATATATATAAAGAACATTTTGATATTTTTCATAAGAAAAATCTCTCTTCCACCCAAGTGTGCAAAACAGAGGGAGAGAGAGATAGTATCTTCATTGAGAGAGCTTGGTAATTGAGTCAGACATTTTACAGCACGGGGGTGGTGAATTCTCTGATTAGGAATGTGTGCGATGCAATTAGATCTCAAATAAACTTTTTTTTTTGGTCAAAGTGTGAAAATATACAAAAAGGGCATGTTGAATGATATCACCATCTCTGATTTCCAAGACCATGACTTCACTGGTCAGAGCTGATCACTTTGTTGTCTCTAGAGTTCGAAGCAGTGTTCGAAGAAGATATCTACATTGTTCGCATAGTTCATGGGTAAATTGTAACCAACGTGCCTGGCACCAAGACTTGCTGCACCCACTGCTGAAGAGCATTTCAGCTTCATCATGGTAAACTTGCACAGGTTCTTTGCCATTGGTTTTTGCTTGACTTCCTTCAACACTTCCAGAAAGCCTGGAAGAAAGGAAAGAATTTGTATTTATATAACACCTTTCACAACCTCAAGGCATCCCAAAGTGCATTTATTTTAATGCCAATCTGCACACAGCAAGGTTCCACAAACAACAATGTGGCGGTGACCATTTCAACCATTTTTTTTATAAATGGATATTGCCTGACTAAGACACTGGAGAGACAGCCTGGTTCCTTTCCAGACATACTCTGGGATCTTTTACACCACCCAAGGGGACCTGGGTTTAAAGACGTTTCTAAAAGGAGATTTATTAAACTAACACCGGGGATAAGAAGCTTCAGCTTTGTGGTGAGACTGCGGCAGGTGGAATGTTTCCTCCCTGGAGCAGAGGTGGTTTTATAAAAAAGGTGAATGAAATATTGAGGAATAATATATTGGAGAAACTCAGTAGGTCTGGCAGCATCTGTGGAGAGAGAAACAGAGTTAACGTTTCAGGTCCAATGCCACCCTTTAACATTGCAGCCTCCACCATGTTTTGTATTTATTTAAAAATGTTGAGGAATTTTGACAGCCAATAAGAAACCATTTCCGATCACAGTAATCAAAGTCTAAAGATTTAAGCTGATTGGCAAAGGAAACATAAGAAATGAGGGTCTGATTATTGATGATTTGGAATGCACAACCTAAATGAGTGGTTTGGAGCAGATTTTGTGATGACTTTCAAGGGGATCTGGATAAACAGTTGAACAGGATAAAAGAACAGAACTATGGGAATGAGTAGGACAGCAGAACTCATCCAGTACACAGACAATGAGCAGAATGGCATTTGGATGTGCTACAAGGTTCTGTTACGTGAGATCAGATGACGAGGTAGTTTGAGGAGGGAATCAGCTTCAGTAAATTACTTACACTACAGATTGATCACGGCAGACCTCCTCCAGCACACACCGGGCTGCCCCCAATCGCCACTTACCATTTTTCAGCAGGTCCCAGCTGTTCCACACGGATCCCACACAGACTATAGGCAGACCAAGCTTCCCATCAAGCAGCTTCTGCAAGACAAAGGGGAGCAGTTAAACCAAAACACAAACCCAAATCTTTCCAACAAAACAAAAAGCCAGAGCTGGTTCCAACAAGCACCTACTCTCAGAGGTGGAGATGTAACACAGTCATCTCAGCAATTCTTTCTCAAAGTTCAACCTTCAACTGGAGGGTGCCCCTCAGCGATATCAGACTGAGGTCCCATGAATCAGTCCTCAGCCCGACTTCACCAGCAGCACAGCCTCTGCAGTTTTTGTCCTTTATACACAGTCATGGGATGTGGCCTCTCTGGCTGGCTCACTATGTATTGCCCATCCTTCGCTGCCCAGAGGGCAGTTCAGATTCAACCGCATTGCTGTGGGTCTGGAGTCACATGTAGGCCACACTAGGTAAGGATGGCAGATTTCCTTCCCTAAAGGACATTAGTGAACCAGATGGATTCTTCCAACAATTAACAATGGTTTCATGGTCATCATTAGATCTTCATTCCAGATTTTTTATTTTAATTTAATTAAATTCAAGTTCCACCATCTGCTGTGACAGGATTAGAACACATATCCCCAGAACATTATCTGGATTAAGAGCCTAGTGATAATACCACTAGGCCAACGCTTCCCCTTGTTCAGCACCTCTGTTCAGATTGACAGAAATTTCACTGCTGTTAAATAGGAGGAAAACCAAACCCAATGTTTTTGTTCTCTCCCACAATTTCTGTTCCCTAGCCACTTACTCCTCGCCTCTTCCTGGGTGTTGAGGTTCAAATAGACTTCAACGTCTTTACCCTGTGCCAAGTGTCAACCCTTTGTGTGTTTCACTGCTATTTCCACTTCTGTAACATAAATTAGGAAGATCCCTTGTGCCTGCACTGACATTTAAGGATCATTCAGGGCTGATCTGATTGATCACCTAAACTTCCATTTCCTGGTCGACCTTGATGCTCTTTATCTTCATCTATCAAGAATCTATCCAACTCATCCTTAAAAAAAATTCAATGACCCAGCCTACACTGTTCTCTGGAGAACAGAATTCTCCAGATTAATGACCCTCATGTCGGTCTTAAATGGGAAAGGCTTACTTTTGAACTGGGTGCCCTGATTCCAGACCGTTCCACCAGGGGCAAGCGTCCTCTCAGCATCCACCCTAGTTAGCCCTATTGGAATATTTTGTGTTTCAGTAAGATCACTCCTCAGTCTTCTAAACTATGGTAAGACAGACTTACACTGTCTACCGTTCGTTATAAGATAAGGAACCAGTTGAGTGAATCTTCTGAGCTGTCTAATGCGACAACCTCTTTGTCTAAGGAAGGAGACAAAACTGTACACTGTACTCCAGATGTGTTCATACTAATACCCTGTATAATGGTCATTAAGCTTCCCTACTTTTATATTCCAATCCTCATGCAATAAATAAAATACCAAAGAACTGCAGATGCTAGAAATCACACAAAATCAGAAATTGCTGGAAAAACTCATTAGGCCTGGCAGTATCTGTGGAGAGAAAGCAGAGTTAATGTTTTGAGGCCAGTGATCCTTCTTCAGAATAAATAACATCCTTACATTTATCTTTGTCATTACGTACTGTATCTTCTGATTTAAGCATCAGGGCATCCAGACCTGACTGTACCAATGAGTTTAAGGAATTTTCTCCATTTAAACACTGGCTGCATTAACGGTCACAGCAGTTGCAGAAGGTACACTCACCACTCATACTGGCTGTGCATGTGACAAAGTGCCAGCAATGCTGCCTGTAGCTGCTCGCATTAGTAGTGTTTTAAATGCTTGTTGATCGCTGCCCCACCTAGCTCAGCACCCCACTCCACTCTCAATTGCTGCAGACTCTCCCTCTGACTCAGCATCCACCCTCAAATCCTCACTGCCCCATTCCCCAAGCGAAGCAGCAAAGGGCAGAGAACGATGATGTCTGCAGCACAGGCTTCCTTTTCCAGTGGACTAACAAGATAGTGTTAAATAACAGAGATAACAAGGTGTAGAGCTGGATGAACACAGCAGGCCAAAAAGCATCAGAGGAGCAGGAAAGCTGACGTTTCAGGTCTAGACCCTTCTTCAGAAATGGGGGAGGGGAAGCGGGTTCTGAAATAAATAGGGAGAGAGGGGGAGGCGGATAGAAGATGGATAGAGGAGAAGATAGGTGGAGAGGAGACAGACAGGTCAAAGAAATGGGGTTGGAGCCAGTGAAGGTGAGTGTAGATGGGGAGTTAGGGAGGGGATAGGTCGGTCCAGGGAGGACGGACAGGTCAAGAAGGCGGGATGAGGTTAGTGGGTAGGAGATGGGGGTGGGAGGAATGGTTAGGGAGACGGGGACGAGCTGGGCTGGTTTTAGAATGCGGTAGGGGGAGGGGAGATTTTGAAGCTTGTGAAGTCCACATTGATACCATCGGGCTGCAGAGTTCCCAAGCGAAATATGAGATGCTGTTCCTGCTGCTTTCGGGTGGCATCATTGTGGCAATGCAGGAGGCCCGGGATGGACATGTCGTCCAAGGAGTGGGAGGGGGAGTTGAAATGGTTCGCGACTGGGAGGTGTAGTTGTTTGTTGCGAACCGAGCGTAGGTGTTCCGCAAAGCGGTCCCCAAGCCTCCACTTGGTTTCCCCGAAGTAGAGGAGGCCACAATGGGAACAGCGAATACAGTATACCACATTAGCAGATGTGCAGGTGAACATCTGTTTGATGTGGAAGGTCTTCTTAGGGCCTGGGATGGGAATGAGGGGGGAGGTGTAGGGGCAGGTGTAGCACTTCCTGTGGTTGCAGGGAAAAGTGCCAGGGGTGGTGGGGCTGGAGGGGAGTGTGGAGCGGACAAGGGTGTCATGGAGAGAGTGGTCCCTTTGGAAAGCAGATAAAGGTGGGAGGGAAAAATGTCTTTGGTGGTGGGGTCGGATTGCAGATGGCAGATGTCAGAGGTCGGAGGATGATGCATTGGATTTGGAGGCTGGTGGGGTGGTACGTGGGGACGAGGGGGATTCTGTTTCGGTTGTTATTGCGGGGATGGGGTGTGAGGGATGAGTTGCGGGAAATGCGAGAGACACGGTCAAGGGCATTTTCGACCACTGTGGAGGGGGAGTTGCGGTCCTTGAAAAACAAGGACATCTGGGATGTCTGGGAGTGGAATGCCTCATCTTGGGAGCAGATGCGGTGGAGGCGAAGGAATTGGGAATAGGGGATGGTCTTTTTGCAGGAAGGTGGGTGAGAGGAGGTGTATTCTAGGTAGCTATGGGAGTCGGTGGGCTTGAAATGGATATCGGTTTCCAGGTGGATGCCAGAAATGGAGACAGAGAGGTCCAGGAAGGAGAGAGAGGTATCAGAGATGGTCCAGGTGAACTTAAGGTTGGGGTGGAAGGTGTTACTGAAGTGGATGAACTGTTCGAGCTCCTCGTGGGAGCACGAGGCGGCACTGATACAGTCATCGATGTAACGGAGGAAGAGGTGGGGGATAGGGCCAGCGTAGTTACGGACGAGGGATTGTTTGGAAGACAGACAGTGTCTCTTGCATTGCCCGCAACTCATCCCTCACACCCCATCCCCGCAATAACAACCGAAACAAAATCCCCCTCGTCCTCACGTACCACCCCACCAACCTCCAAATCCAACGCATCATCCTCTGACACTTCCGCTATCTGCAATCTGACCCCACTACCAAAGACATTTTTCCCTCCCCACCCTTATCTGCTTTCCAAAGGGACCACTCTCTCCGTGACTCCCTTGTCTGTTCCACACTCCCCTCCAGCCCCACCACCCCTGGCACTTTTCCCTGCAACCACAGGAAGTGCTACACCTGCCCCTACACCTCCCCCCTCATCCCCATCCCAGGCCCTAAGAAGACTTTCCACATCAAACAGATGTTCATCTGCACATCTGCTAATGTGGTATACTGCATCCGCTGTACCCGGTGTGGCTTCCTCTACATCGGGGAAACCAAGCGGAGGCTTGGGGACCGCTTTGCAGAACACCTGCGCTCGGTTCGCAATAAACAACTACACCTCCCAGTCACGAACCATTTCAACTCCCCTTCCACTCCTTGGACGGCATGTCCATCCCGGGCCTCCTGCATTACCACAATGATGCCACCCGAAAGCAGCAGGAACAGCATCTCATATTTCGCTTGGGAACTCTGCAGCCCAAGGGTATCAATGTGGACTTCACAAGCTTCAAAATCTCCCCTCCCCCGACCGCATCCCAAAACCAGCCCAGCTCAGCCCCGCCTCCCTAACCATTCCTCCTACCTCAGGCCCCACCCCCATCTCCTACCCGCTAACCTCATCTTGCCTCCTTGACCTGTCCGTCCTCCCTGGACTGACCTATCCCCTCCCTAACTCCCCACCTACATTCACCTTTACTGGCTCCAATCCCGCCTCTTTGACCTATCTGTCTCCTCTCCACCTATCTTCTCCTCTATCCATCTTCTATCCGCCTCCCCCTCTCTCCCTATTTATTTCAGAATCCCCTTCCCTTTCCCCATTTCTGAAGAAGGGTCTCAACCGGAAACGTCAGCTTTCCTGCTCCTCTGATGCTGCCTGGCCTGCTGTGTTCATCCAGCTCTACACCTGGTTATCTCAGATTCTCCAGCATCGGCAGTTCCTACTATCAGTGTTACATAACATCCTGCTTTTATATTCTTTCTGCCAAAGTGGATGAGCTGATGTTTTGCCATGTTATACTCCACTTACCAAATTTTTGGCCAATCACTTGACCTGTTTGTATTGCTTTGCAGAAAAATTACTCTCCTTGATAGCATCAGTCGTATTAGGAACATCTATTTGACTTCTCCATCCAAGTCATTTGTACAGATAATAAACAGTCAAGACCCCAGCACTAATCCCTATGGCACTGCACCAGTTACAGATTGCCAACTAGAACATTACTCATTTAGACTTATCTCCATTAACTGACCAATGCTCTATTCCTGTTAATATGTTAGCCCCTAAATCACAAGCTCCTATTTTGTCCAGTAATTTTCATGTGGCACCTGCCCAAGAGGTTTTTAGAATTCCAAGTACATCACATCTAGAAGTTCCTCTATCTATATCACTTGTTGCTTCCTCAAAAGAAGTATACTAAATTACTCAAAAGGACTTCCCTTTCACAAAGCCAAGCTGACTCCACTTAAATTCATTACAATGTTCTTAGTGCTCTACTATATCCTCCTCACTAATAATACGATTCTTGTGTTTTCTCTGTGTTAAGCTAGCTTTCTGCCTCCTACCTTTCTTGAACAGAGAAGTTACATTTGCTATATGATGGGACCCCTTTAATCTTAAAAACATAAAAACAAACCTAACTACCATAATATATTTTTAATCAGGAAGGGAATCAAGGTTTGTGGGGTAAAGGCAGGGAAGCAGAACTGTGAATTATCTGATTAACCATGATGTCATTGAATAACAAAGTGGACTCAATGGGCAGAATGGTGTACTTCTGCTCCTATGTCTTGAGATCTAATGGTTACCATATCCATGGCCATTTCTTTCGGGATCCTGGGGTGAAGTGCTCTGTAATTTTTCAACCCAGAATTAGGCCATTTATCCGTGGAACCCCCTTTTTTGTTTAATTTCCACTTAGGGATGCTTCCCTTTCTGTCCATTCTATTGAAGGCCTGTATATTTCTTCTTGTGGGAATGGCGACCCATGGGATGGGACTGGCAGTGCGTAACACTAAACCGCAGCAGATACAAAGTTCAACCACTGTTCAGAAATGGGATGAAAGCCCTATAATCTCACCATATTCTGCTGTGGACGAGTGGGAGGCAGTCTTGCTCAGGTCAGAAAGTCATAGATTGAATTCCCACTCCAGCTATCCGAGCATACAGCCTAGGCTTGCTTCTCATTGTGGAGCTGACAGAGTGCTGCACAGTCAAAGCTCCTTCCTTTTGGCTAAGATATTAAAGTGAGACATTGTCCATTCCTAGAGTGAAGACTAAATATTTCATTGCCGGACAGAAACAGGTTTGGACAATATTTAGCCCCAAATCTAATCATTATCACATTTCTATTTGTGCAAGCATGCTGGGCTTTGAAGTTTGGTGAAGTACAGAGTGTGGAGCACAGAACTAATCCAACCAGTCCATGCCGCTGATAAAGTTGCATTCGAATCTTGCCCATTCAGCTCAATCAGGATAAGCACCTATTCCCTTCCCCCTCAAACACTTACTGAGCCTCCTCTTAATTGCATCAATCACTTTTTGTGGCAATGAGTTCTACATTCTCACCACATTCTCTTGGCTAAGACGTCTCTTCTGAATTGTGAGGCATTAAGACAGAAGACGTTAACTGGCTCAAAAGCCCAACTTTGGAAACAAACCTACACTCAATGGTTACATTTCATTTTTACCTGGTCCACATGTGGCAGCACAGCCACAACATGCCGGGCAAGTTCCTGACCCCCTCTTCTGAAGATGTGACAAGAAAAATGGTCTCCAGCTTGTGCCGCTGAAAAAAAAGAACTTTTAAATGATCATTTTTAAAGGGGCTTTCTTCTCCCCAATCACTCCCATCCATTAAGATTGCCCCTGCAATTAAAGAAAGGAACATAGGAACACAGGAATCCTAAGAACAGGAGTAAGACATTCAGGGTCTTGAACCTGTTCCATACCAGGTCACCCCTTATCCTATCACATTCTACACACTGAGAATGGGAATTGGATGGCCAAGTGGTTATGTTACTGGGCTGCAACACCAAGATCTTGAATCTTATCCCTACTAAGTGGAGAGTCAAGATTGAGTTCAAGTGTTAAATGAAAGAACTTGCGTTTATTCTAATGGCTCCCAAAGTGCACTACAGCCAAAAACAAAAGGACATTTTGAAGAGGAGTCACTATTGTCATGTAGTGTGTTGAGTACAGTAAACATTGACCGTGTAGTGACGGGTTGTCAGAGAACTTACTTCACCAATATCGGTGGAAGGATAACAATATTTGGCCTTCACCAGCTGGGAGGACAATTCTTTGAAGTACTGCTTTGAGATCTTTTACAACTGCCTGGGAGGATAACAGTCTCAAATTAGTTTCCTCCCAAAAACCTGACAGTACAGCAGTCCCTTGATGCTCCACTAGAGGGCCAGTCAAGATATTTGAGTCTAATTCTGAGGAGTCAGATCTGAACTTGGAACCTGTTGACCCGGAGGCAACAGGTGCCACCGACAGAATCTTGGTTAATATGTTCATTTGGCTTGTGATCTACGACTTAAAAAGGTGTAAACAGTCATCAAAAATTATGTTCACCTTCTGCTAGCTTTCGACAAAATCCAGCAATTTTGGATTTCTCAAAGGTACGATATAGGTGAGTGAGAAGGGCCATTCGATTAGACACCTGCATCAGAAAAGAAAGAAAAGGTTTAAGAGACAAATCTGAACAGTTCACAGAATCATAGAACAGGTCAGAGGCTAGGAATGGAAACAAAAATTGCTGGAGATCACAGCAGCTCAGGCAGCATCCACGAAGAGAAAGCAAGCTAACATTGAGTCTAGATAACTCTTCCTTAGAGCTTTGTTTTCAGTACAGATTCCAGCATCTGCAGTAATTTGCTACTACACAGGCTAGGAATACTACGCATTCCATCACATTCCTAACTTGTGCCCTGTAAATGGTGGACAGGCTTTAGGTAGTCAGGAGGTGAGTTACTCGCTGCAGGATTCCTAGCCTCAAACCTGCTCTTGTAGCCACTGTGTTTATGTGGCACGTCTAGTTGAGTTTCTGGTCAATGATAACCCCCATGATGTTGATAGTGGGGGATTCAGTGATGGTAACACCATTGAATGTCAAGGGGCAGTGGTTAGATTGTCTCAATGGTGATTGTCATTGCCTGGCATTTGTGTGGCACGAATGTTACTTGCCACTTTCAGCTCAAGCCTGGATATTGTCCAGATCTTGTTGCATTTGAACATGGGCTGTTTCAGTATCTGAGGAGTCGCAAATGGTGAAGATTATGCAATCATTTCTGACCTTATAATGGAAAGAACATCATTGATGAAGCAGCTGAAGATGGTTGGGCCGAGGATACTACTCTGAGGAACTCCTGCAGAGGTGAGATGGAGCTAAGATGACTGACCTCCAGCAACCACGACCATCTTCCCATGTGTCAGGTATGACTACAACCAGCACAGTTTGCCCCTGATATCACTGACTCCAATTTTGGAGCCAATTTTACAACGAAGGCTGTAGTCAGGCCAGGAACTGAGTTTCATTATTTTATTTTCTTTATTCATTCATGGGATGCAGGCATCGCTGGCTAGGCAGCATTTATTGCCCATCCCTAATTGCCCAGAGGGCAGTTAAGAGTCAACCACATTGCTGTGGGTCTAGAGTCACATGTAGGCCAGACCAGGTAAGGATGGCAGTTTCCTTCCCTAAAGGACATTGGTGAACCAGATGGGTTTTTCCCCTGACAATCGGCAATGGATTTATGATCATCATTAGACTCTTAATTCCAGATATTTTATTGAATTCAAATTCCACCATCTGCTGTGGCAGGATTCAAACCCAGGTCCCCAGAACATTATCTGGGTCTCCGATTAACAGACCAGTGATAATACCACTAGGCCATCGCCTTCCCCCAGAGGCTCTGGCGGAGCCCAAACTGGGTGTCACTATTCAGATGCTGCTCGATAGCACTGTCAATGACACCTTCTATCACTTTAATGTTGATCGAGAACAGACTGATAGGACAGTAACGACGTGCTAGAAGATCCTTTTACATGCTAACATTCTCTATAAATTTAATGATAGCATTGTGTTTGAACAATCTTGAACACATTTTTCTACTTAAATATGTTACGAGAGATTAACTGTCCTGCAAATAGCTGTACGATAATGACCAGATGATAGGTTTTGGTAATGCCGGATGAGGAATAAATGCTGTAGACCACCAGAGAGAATGTTTCTGTTCTTCTTCATGTCGGATAATGGGATTGCTCATATCCAACTGAGGGCAAACGGTGGGACTCTGCTAAATGTTGCATCTGAAGATCAACATCTCTGACCGAGCAGCACTCCAGCAATCCTGCATGAGTTTTGCCAGCCAGGATTACACATTCAGGTTTTGGTGGGTCTTGGACACACATGATTCAGCAGTGACTGGAGAAGGAGAAGCAGTGATCGAATCATGCCAGACCCGTCAAGCAGACACCACTCAAGACCCAAAGGCCACAGATTTTATCCCCCCTTCAAAGAGGGTACACAATCTAATTAACAACTGACCTCAACACACTTTGCTTAGAGAATGCAAGGCAAAGGCATCAGATCAATATTATGACAAATGACATCATTTCAACATATCCAAAACATTTCAACAGCACCCTAGTCCACATCAATGGTTATTTTGCATGCAAGCTTTCTCCAACTCATCAACTGCCACCAATAGAACCACCTAATCCATTCTCCATCATGTGCCTGTGCAACTTCTCCCTAAATGACAAGTCACATTAACTGGTCTGTGTGGTAGTGATTCAACGGTAGGTGTCTGAAATATGCAGAGGATAAGAGGGACCTTGGAGTCCAATGTCAATCAACACATGGCTCAGGATTACTCCAAGACACCATTACTTTTGAGGTTCTGTTTTTCAGTTTAGCCCTAACGCTGCATACCCCTTCAGCAGAACCTCTGGCTTCATTACACCAATGTTGGTGTTAATGTGGACCATGATCACTAAATGCTCCATGCTGACACAGAAGTTCTTCTCCAGCCCCAGAGCAGATACCCCGAACCCTGACACTGGCAGGCAACACTCTTTGCTGCAGAGAACAGTGTCAAATTCGCCCCCACTAGGTAAAAAGGTTTTTCCCTCCCCAAGGTCTTCTTCCATTGCTTCCTATACCAATTACCTTATATTTGTGCCCTTTGGTTCTCAATCCTTCCACCAATGTGAGCAGTCTTTTCCTACCTATGCTGTTTAGACTCGTGATTTTGAATATCTCCAACAGATCTCCTCTCGATTTTCCCTCCAAGGAGAAATGTCCAAACTATATCTGATGAACATTATTCCCAAATCATTCTGCTTGTACATTTTCTCAAGTCTTTTTTGACCTTTGCCAATACTTGCATACCCTTTCCTTCTCACATAATGAAGACCAGAGCAGTGCCCTGTACTTGAAACGTAGTCCTCCTATAAAGGTCCTTATCAAACAACTCACACCATTGGTCAGTATGATGACAACTTCTAACCTGGAAGTAGTCATACATGGCCTCCTTCACCAGACAGATGTTAAATGGTGTGTGCTTGAAGTTGTCAATAGCGTCATACACAATCTTTATAGCCAATAGTGACATCCAATAAGCTGCAAAGAAAGAGTGAAGAATTCAAATTATTAAGAAACCAGCCATAAGTATAAAAATACAAAGTAAGAGTTTCTAACAAAACTTAAAGTGAGCATTGGTCCTATAGAAGTGAGTCCGCAGAATTAATAATGGATAATAAGGAACTGGCAGGTGAATTGGAGAAACATTTTGCATCAGTCTTCACTGTAGGGGACATTAGAACCGTCCTCAACGCAGCAGAAAATCTGGGAATGGAAGGGAGGGTTGAATTCAGGAAAAGGACAATTGCCTGAGAAGTAGTACTGAATAAATTGTTGGAGCTGTTGACTGACTGGGTCCAGACTGACTTCATTTGGAAGAACAGGTCAGAGAGATAAGTCGATGCACTGATTTTGCTTTTCCAAAACTGACAAGATTTGGGAACAGTCTCACTGGATTTGAAGACTGTACATGTAACACTTTTGTTTAAAAATAAAGGGTGTGTCACAAATCTGGAAACTTCAAGCTAGTTAGCTTAACAGTTGCTAAACGAGTAATAGCAGGACATTTGGATAAGTTCAAGGTAATTGGGCAGAGTCACCGTGCAAAAGGGAATCATTGTAAGCATATCTGAAGTCCTTTGAGGAAGAATCGTGGGCATTGGATAAAGGGGAACTGGTGGTTCCAGATTTCCAGAAGGCATTCTGTGGTGGCTCAGTGGTTAGCACTGCTGCCTCACAGCGCCAGAGGCCCAAGTTCGATTCCACCCTCGGTGACTCTCTGTGTGGAGTTTGCACATTCTCCCCGTGTCTGCGTGGGTTTCCTCCGGTTACTTCGGTTTCCTCCCACAGTCCAAAGATGTGCGGGGTAGGTGGATTGGCCATGCTAAATTGCCCATAATGTCCAGGGATGTTTAGGTTAGATGGGTTAGACATGGGAAATACATGGGTAGGGGAATGGGTCTGTGTGGGATGCTCTTTGGAGGGGCAGTATGGACTTGTTGGGCCAAATGGCCTGTTTCCATACTGTAGGGATTCTATGATTCTCATTCGACATGTAACATCAAAGGCTATTCTGAAGAATATAAACTCATGCTGTAGGGGTTGGTGTCTTGGGATTGACAGAATTTTGGTGGGCTAACATCAAGTAGATTTTCATAGAACTCCTACAGTATGGAAACAGGCCATTTGGCTCACAAGCCCATACTGACTCTCTGAAGAGCATCCCACCTAGACTCACCCCCCACTCCTCCACCCCCACCCTATGCCTGTAATCCTGCATTTCCGATGGCTAATCTACCTAACGTACCTAACATCTTTGGACACTATGGGGTAATTTAGCATGGCCCAACCCACCCTAGCCTGCACATCTTTGGACTGTGGGAGGAAACCGGAGCACCCGGAGGAAACCCACGCAGACACGGGGAGAATATGCAAACTCCACACCGACAGTCGTCCGAGGCTGGAATCGAACCCGGGTCCCTGGTGCTGTGAGGCAGCAGTGCTAACCACTGAGCCACCGTGCTGCCTTGTAGGCATAAATAGGTCTTTTTCAGGTCAGCAACACATGGTCCGTCACAGGGATTGGTGCTCGGAGCTCGACTGCTTAAAACTTACATAGACAATTTGGATGACAGGATCAAATGGCATGGTACGGTAGCTAAATTTGCTGATAACCACAACAATAGGTAGTTGTGAGGAACATTTATGGAAGCTGCATAAGTGGATTAAGTGAGTGGACAAACATCTAATAAATGGAGTATGATGTAGGAAAATGTGGAACTGTTTGTCAATTTTGGGAGGAGGAATAAAGCATTAACTGCTTCTCTCTCCAACTCTTCTCCAGCACTTTCTGCTTTTATTAAGCATATTATCCAATTGGTGAGAGATTGCAGAGCACCAAGACGCAGAGCAATCTGGGTGCACCTTGACAGTGCCTGAATCACAAAATTTTGGTACACAGCAAGTATCTGGCAAAACAAATAAAACGTTATACAAATAAAATTTAATGTGTGATAACTGAATGCGAAATTTATGAGGGTATTCTTCAAGTTACATGAGACACTGAGAAGACCACATCTGTAGTACTGTACACAGCACTGAACTCCTTCAAGGACAGATATCAAGTTATTAAAGGCAAGACAGAGAAGGTTTAAGGGACTAATACCCGGAATGGGCAGCTTGTCTTGTGATGATATGTCAGAGAAGCTAGATTGTATCTCCATGGACTTAGGAGAATAAGAGGCAACTTTGTTGAAATGTATAAGATCTAGGGGAATTTCGACAGGGCAGAACGAAAAGGATATTTCCTCTTATGGGAGAATCTAGAACCATGAGTCACTGTTTAAAAATAAGGGATTGCTTATTTAAAATGGAGATAAGGGGAATTATTTTTTATCCTCTCAAGAGGGTCAAGAGTCTTTGGAACTCTTCCAGAAAAGGCAGTGGAAGCAGAAGCTTTGAGTATTTGTAAGGCAGAGAAAGATTGATTCTTGTTAATCAAGGGGTGGAAGATGAGCAGGAATGTAGTTTTGAAGTTACAATAAAATCAGTTATGATCTTATTAAATAACTGAGCAGGCTCAAGAAGCTGAATGACTTCCACCTGTTCCTTACTTGTATTAAGCTAATTATCACTTCTCACTGCCGCATCTCTCCTAACTCCCCCCACTCCCCCACCCACCTCCCCATCAAAAGGGCTGACCGTAGCTGGGGAAGGAAGCAAGGATGTGAAGGTATAGGTGGGGAAGGGGCATTTCAGCATGTGGAATAATGGGTCAGGCAAGGGCAGTTCACAGGATTGGGATTGGGAGGTGTAAGTGAGGAAGGAACATTTTGGGTTGAGGAGATGTGGAATAGTTGGGGGTGGGGGGCTTTGACAGATATCAGCAACTCTTTCAGCAAGCGTTAGTAGCTTGACTGACACAGACCACCAATTGGCAAGTCCAGCTCCGGGGTTTAGATCCAGCAAACCTTCCATCAACAGAGCACTGATGTTCATCCTCAATACAGAGCAGAGCTTCTTCCCAGGGAGGATACAATACTGAATTGCCCTGATTGAATCAGCATCCATGACTAAGTCTGAAACTCCCTGGGTTTGCAATATTGTTACACAGAGGTAAGTTCCACATTGTAACTGCTCTCTTGGTAAAGATTCCCTTACTGGCAGTTACCTTGTATTGACGAAACCCAATTTTGGACACCCCAAGGGCAGAAAGACGATCTGTAACTATATCTGATCAATCCGCTTCACAACATTTTTTTTTGTTTTTTTATGTGCTCTATCAGACCAGCCTCTCAGTTTTCCCTGTTACAGAGGAGAGACACACTCAGATCCAGTACCATTCTTGTAACTTTCCCCAGTGGAACTGGATTCAAGCATGTCCTCAAATGGTGTAAATTTCCAAGCTCTCTGCGTAAAGTGTAAAGCAACAGAGCTTGTGAAAAAACGGAAGGTGGGTCGATGTCTTACCCTTGCACATGCATCCTCATAACCCACCCCTCAAAAGCCCATGCTTCTTAAAACCACTATTCCTCTTCACTCACCAGATCCCTCGTCTCCGAGCAGGTGGCCCCAGCCTCCACACCCGGTCACTGAGCCGTTCGGATTGATGAGCTTGCAGTTGGAACCAGTTCCCGAGATTAATACAATTCCACCTGGTGTGTGTGGGTGTTTTTTTGGCAGGCAGCAGCAGAGGAAGAGGGGGAGTGACAAAAAAGAAACTACTGTTAGGTTCTGTTGCAGATGGGTAACCTTTGCCAGCACATCTTCCAAGAGAGTACTGACAGTCTACAAAGCAAATCCCAGCTCAGTCAAGCCATTCGTACATTGATGCAGAAAGCCAACATTTACCACGAGAGCGACTATCAGAAGACAAGGACACACATGCACGTGTTTGAGGGAAGGTCATGGTGCAGCAAGATCAAACAATGGCGTAACTACACTCTAGCACAGCTTGAGCATGGTTCATCTGATATCACACTCATTCATCCTAGGGAAAAGGCAAATTGCCTCTTTCTGGGAACATTAGGAACAGAAGAATAGTAGTTGGCCATTCAGTTCATCGAGTCAGTTCCATCCTTCAGTTGGGTGATGCCTGATCATCTATCTCAATGCCACTTTTCCAGATTATCCCGATTTCCCTTAACGTCATTAGTTTCCACAAACCTATCAATTTCCAACTTGAATCTGTTCAACTACTGAGCCTCTGCAGCCCTCTGGGGAAGAGCATTCCAATGATTCACCACCCTCTAAATGAAGAAAATTCCCCTTATCTCAGTCTTCAATGACCTATCCCTTATCCTGAGCTGATGTTTCCAGTTTTAGAATCAGTAGCCAGGAGAAACATCTTATTTACATTAATCCTGTCATGCCTTGCAAGAATTTTCTATGTTTCAATGAGATCATCTCATTCTTTGAAACGCTTCAGAATACAGGCCCAGTTTCCCCATCTCTCCTCAGGAGATAATCCAGCCATTGCGGGGATTAAGCTGGTGAACCTTCACTGCACACCCAAAGAGACCAAAACTGTCCTGCAATACTCCAGTCTCGTCGAGACTCTATATAATTACAGCATGACATCTTTGCATCTGTACTCACATCCTACTGATGAAGTAATGAAGGCCAACATCGCATTTGCCTTCCTGATTGCTTGCAGTACCTGCATGTTAGTCTTGATTGACTCATGGACAAGGACACCCAGGTCCCTTTGAATACCTGCACTTCCCAACCTGTTCAGCCCATTTAAATCCTCTTGACCTCTCCTTGCATCCACCTCAACTTACAAGTTTGAAAATATTACAATTGGTCTCAATATCCAAATCATTTATATAGACTGTAAAGAGTTGCAGACCTACTAATTGATCCTTGTGGTACCCCACACTTAACAGCATGGCATCTTGAGGATGAGCCATTTATTCCTACTTTCTGCTCATTAAGCAATTCTCAACCTATACCAGTATATTCTCCCCAATCACAACTGCTCTATTTTTATTTACTATCATGAGTGGCATCTTACCAAAATCCTTCTGAAAATCCAACCACCACCACAACCACTGCTCTCCTTAGTCTATGCTACAAGCAATACTCTCAAAAACTCCAAGTTTGTCAAGTATGATGTTATTGCACTAAAACCCAAAGGACACAAGTTTATATCTCAACATGACGACTTGAGAAATTGAATGCTGGGAAGTGAAAAGCTGGTGCAAGTAAAAGTGACTGTGATTCATAAAAGGTCAAGTTCACAGAGATGTCCCATTTGTCAAGGAAAAACAGCTATCCCAAGTCTAAAACGGGAGTGCCACATGGGCCCAGTTAGAGTTTTTGAGGATGTTATTTGTAGCAGAGATAAAGGAAAACCAGTGGATGTGGTGTAGTGGTAATGTCAGTGGACTAGTAATCTAGAGACCCAGGCTAATGACCTGGAAACACACATTCAACTTCCACCATGCAGGCTGGTGGAATTTCAGCTCAACTCAGTAAGGGAGATGGTGGGATAATGTCACTCGATCAGTGATCCAGGCCCCAGGCTAATGTTCTGAGGTCATGGGTTCAAATCCCAGAATGGCAGATGGTAAAGTTTGAATCCAACTTAAAAATAAATTTAATGTGATCATGCCGATTGTTATAAAAACCCAATTGATTCACTAAGCAAATCTGACCTGTTCTAGCCCACACATGACTCCATAGTGACATGCAATTAACTTAAATGCCCTCTGAAATAGCCTAGCAAGCCACTCTGTTCAAGGGCAATTAAGGATGGGCAAAGGCCAGTGATGGCCTATGAAAGAGCAACTCTTTTAATCAGATGAATTATTTTCACTGGGGATTCTAGATCTGAAAGTCTGAGAATTAGGGCCAGATTGTTCAGGAGAGATGATTGGAAGCACTTCAACGCACAAAGGATGGTAGATTTTGGAACTCACTTCCACAAAGGGTGATGGATTCTGGATCAGTTGCTAGTTTTAAATCCGAGATAGATAAATTTCCTTTAAGCAACGGTATTGAGGCATATGGGCCAAAGGCAGGTATATGGAGTTAGGCCGCAGGTCAACCGTGATCTCACGAAATGGTGGAACAGACTCGAGGGGCTGAATAGCCTGTTTCTATGTTTGCATTGGGAGCTGGGACTTGAGAAGACCTTCTTCGGGCAATTAGGGGTGGTCAAAAAATGCTGGACTCCTCAAGCAGGGGCACATTGACAGGAGAGAGGAGTTTTAAAGTTTAACCACTAGGTGGAAGGGAAAGCTCTCCAGCCCCCAAAATACAATTTCATGAACTTCAACAGAAAAACAAAATCTTGCCTGCACTATAGAGCCTTACCTGTGTCTGTGGCTGTCGATATGCCCCCTATTGCATCTGTAGTGATGCTGTAGTTCTCGCTCAGGTTTGGGAACCTCTCCTTCAGCAACTGGACCAATGTGCTGATTGCTTCATCCTGATCTCCCCCACTTAGAGTCAACCCCTGAGAAGGCACAAAGGTAAAGCCAATTAACTCAGGGCAAACACCCCTGAGAAGGCACAAAGATAAAGCCAATTAACTCAGGGCAAACACCCCTGAGAAGGCACAAAGATAAAGCCAATTAACTCAGGGCAAACACCCATGGTTTGCTCAGAAGAGACACTGAGCTCAACAACAAAACTTTTTTTCAAGAATAACAATCTATTGCCGCTTTTATCTATGAAAATACAGTGAAGCACTCTGGCTTCAGACAGCTGTGGGTCAAAGTCCCATTCTAAGGACTTGAACACCAAACCAAGGCTGTGGTATTGAACAAAAACAAAGTTGCTGGAAAAGCTCAGCAGGTCTGGCAGCATCTGTGGAGAAGAAAACAGAGTTAACGTTTCGGGTCCGGTGACCCTTCCTCAGTACTGATGGTGGCTGGGAAAACGTCAGTTTATGTGCAGAAAATAGGGAAGTGGGTGGGGTAGGGAGTAAACGATAGGATAGAGCCCAAAGAGAGAGAAAGGCAGTTGGACAGACAAAGGAGTTGCTAACGATCAGGCTGGGAGGTGAATAGTTGTTAATGGGGACTGTTAGTGACTAACAACGGGGGTGTGTAATGGCAGGCTATGTGGTAACAAGGCCTGGTGTGTGGGGTGGGGGGCTGGGATATGGGAGAGTTTAGGCCCTAAAATTATTGAACTCAATATCGAGTCCGGAGGGTATTGAGGCTGGTGTCATCTTTTCAAGGCCATACTTGTGTTCCCACCCCATCTGGTGGATGCAAAGAATGCAACAACTCACTTTCAAAGATGAGCAGAGGAGTTCCTTAACTCTGAACTAAACATCACTAAATCAAATGGTCATGTTGAGGTATTTAATGGTTACAGAGAGATTAAACAGCAAGGAATGGCTTCCATAAGGAGGAAGTAGGGATGAGAGCTCACTGCCTGAAAAAGTGGCAGAAGCTACTCATTCCCCTTCACCTAGACCCACTCGCCCACCCTTCTCCCCGTTCTGCGTATACTTCCCTACTCCAAAACCCACAATCTCTACCTTCCCCTACAACACTGTACCTCTCACGCCACATTCCCCCTCCGCCACAGTCCATATTCCTGTTTCTCTTCTCCAGAATCCATCTCCCTGTTCTCCACCCCATCCCCCACACACCATCTCGACAACTCTCACCTCCTTCCCCCCCACCGCTGCCTGCCTCTTCTCTCTATCTTGTGTAAGGTAATGATTTGCCTGTATAGCAAAACTACTTTTCACATGTGACAATAATAAATCAAATAAAAAAATCTTCCAACTTGCCCCAAACACCCCATCCCTTTTCCAACACCTTCCTGTCTTCCTTATAGCTTGGCTTCCAGAACTGAGTGCAACACTGTAGCTGAGGTTGATCCAGGTTTAACATAATGATGGAGGAAGGAAAGAAAAGGCCAAGAGTAAAACACAACCACAGCAAAAGAACTGAGCCCATGCATTCATCATCGTTCACTTGTCACTCACTGTTTGTCTCTCCTTTCCAACTTTTCTCAGTCTGATTTATTGCTCACCCTCTTGCACTTTGAACCAGCAACAAGATACTCCACACAAGCTTATCACCAAAGTCCAAAGGGGTCGGCTGTGATACAAAGACAAGTGAAAGTCAAATTTGTTTTATATCACATATGTGAAAAACGAAATACTGCTCCAGAGGTTGCAATCCTCATGTCTTCATGGAACTACAGCTTCCCAATTTCTAGTAACAGCACTGCCTGCCTTCCTACAGCCAGACAACAATAAACTCTGACCTTGGCCTTCACAGTGTCTTTTCCTGTACAGAGTCATCATTATTCTACAAAGTTGAGTATCACCAGCTCACATTTCGCAACAGGAAAAGTAGCTTCCTGAGATGGATTAGGTTTACACGGCAGGCCCAGGCATTCACTTCAACACACAAGATTACAGAGAGAAAGCATGTGCAACATTTGCAGCTTGGAAATACGCACTGGGCACACACAGAATGAACGGGCCAGAGTGAGCAGGGACAGAAATGGATCTTCCACAATCTTATCAAACGCTGGAGCAGGCTTGATGGACAAAACAGCTTACTTTTGCTGATATTTCATATGTTTGTACGTTTGTTCAATTTGATCATCATCAGGCAATGTTCTGTCCTTGTATTCTGAGCGGCACCGAGGAAGCTGGATTAGCGTTGGCCAGGCTTAAGGTCTATAAAGTTTACCTACCAAGGACTTGAGTGGTACATTAGGATCTGCGCCAGCTGCCTTCTTAGCATCCAGGACCATGCTGTTGATGCTTTCCAAGCATTGGTCCACCCCAACCAGCTGCAGAGAATGAAACAGACACCATTGTCCAGTCAAAACACAAGACGACAAACCACTGAAACAACCAGGCATGCTCATCTCCCCACAACCCATTCTCACCAATCTACCAATCAACTGCTCTCCTCGCCCTAACTCAGATAGCCAGTGGCAAGAGGCAGGGACGAAGGAAAATTTATTTATTCACAGGTAGTGGGTATCACTGGCCAGGCCAGTATTTATTGCTCTTGTGGTGCAGTGGTAGTACCCCTACCTTCATCGGAGGCTGCACTGAGGATGTTACCAAGCATGGTAACGAAACGTCTGCAAAACAACAAACCAGCTCGGCGAGCCAACCAACCCTCAACACCCACAACCTGAGCTACAGATCTACTCCAAAACCTTAGATATCCCTACCTTTGTAACAGAAGGCCCTGCTTCAAGTCCCACCTGTTCTGGAGGTGCTACTAACATCTGTGAACAGGTTGATTAGAAAATAGTTTTTTGAAAAAAAAACTACCCATTCCCCAATTGCCCAGGCAGGAGTGAAGAGTTAACCACATAGCCGAGAGTCTGGCATCACACATAGGATAAACCAAGTTAAGATTGACAGATTTCCTTCCCTAAAGGGTTTTAGTGCATCAAAGAGGTTTTTCTGATAGCCGACAATGATCATAGTTAAGATTCTTAAATTACAGATATTTATTGAATTCAATTTTAATAAATTACCGTCTAGCCTGGCAAGATTTGAACTCAGCTCCCCAAAACATTACCACAGTCTTTGGATTAATAGCCTAGTGATAATACCACTAGGCTAGTGCCTGTGTAGAAAGCTTTTAAGACACTGTGCCTTAGACTGTATTCAAATGAAAACGTATTTAAGAATGTAACATTTTGGGATAAAGACTGAGAGAAACTTGAGATAGAATTATGGTGAGCCCAATAATCTCGAGAGGGTTAATAAAGCAGAATTCTTTGCCTCATATCTGGGTCTACATAAAATTATTAGCGGTTATAATATAAGCACTGTAGATGCTGGAAGATAGAAGTTTTTTTTTTACAAAAGTACTGGAGAAAGTCAGAAGCTCTAGCATTGTGTGTGGAGAGAACACTGGAACAATGACTCTTCAGAATCAGGATTGGAAGAAAGGTTATACAGTTGGTTCTTTGGTGGTAAAGAAACTAACTATTCCTTACCCAGTGGTTGGTGGCTGGACCATTCACCTTGGCTTTGATCGTCCCGTCCTCAGCAATCAGCACTACATTCGAGCTAGTTGCTCCTCTAACAAAAGAATGAACATTAATTTCTTTTTGAATATGCAATAAGTCCAGTTTTTTGACACTGGTCCATCTTCATCTAACACTTTTTGTCATTGATGTAAATGATTTGGATGTGAATATAGAAGGCATGATTGGTAAGTTTGCAGATGACACCAAATTGGCGGTCTAGTAGGCAGCAAAGAAGTTACCTCAGAATCAATGGGACCTTGATCAGATGGGCTGATGGGCCATGGAGTGGCAGACAGAGTTTAATCGGGATAAATGTGAGGTTCTGTATTTTGGCAGGGCTCATCAGGCAGGATGCATACACTTAATGGTAAGGTCCTGGGGAGTGTTGCCGAACAAAGATCTTCGAGTGGAGTTGAAGGTCGACAGGATAGTGAAAATGGCGTTTGGTAAGCTTGCCTTTATTGGTCAGCGCATTGAGTATTGTAGTTGGGAGGTCATGTTTCGGCTGTACAGGACATTAGTTAGGTCACTTTTGGAATACTGCTTTCAATTCTGGTCTCCCTGCAAAACGAAAGATGTTGTTAAACTTGAAAGAGTGCAGAAAAGAATTACAAGGATGTTGCCGTGGTTGGAGGGTTTGAGCTATAGGGAGAGGCTGAATAGGCTGGAGCTATTTTCCCTGGAGTGTCGGAGGCCGAGTGCTGACTTTATAGAAGTTTTTGTGATTGGTTGGCTCACAGAGCTGGTTTGTTGTTCTGCAGACGTTTCATTACCCTGCTGGGTAACATCATCAGTGCAGCCTCTGATGAAGCGTTGTTGTGTTTTCCCGCCTGGTATTTGAACTCTGGAGTCCAGTTTCTCCACTAAGAAGGCCATCAACACACACAGAGCTAGATCCTATACATACTCCACTGCGAAGGAAAACTGGAAGTGAGGTAACCCAGCTCAACGGACCCCAGAGTTTAAATACCAGGCGGGAATGAAACATCTATGGAACAGCGAACCAGCTTGACAAGGCAACCAACCACACCCCGAGCTACAAATCTACTTAAAAACCTTATAGAGTTTATAAAATCACAACAGCATAGATGGTTTTTTCCCCTAGGGTAGGGGAGTTCAAAACTAGAAGGCATAGGCTTAAGGTGAGAGGAGAAAGATATAAAAACAGACATAAGGAGAGCCTTTTTCCACACAGAGGGTGGTGCATGTATGGAATGAGCTGCCAGAGGAAGAGGAGGGGGCTGGTACAATTACATCATTTAAAAGGGATTCAGATGGTTATACAAATAGGAAGCATTTAGAGGGATATGGGCCAAATGCTGGCAAATGGGACTAAATTGGGCAAATGGGTCAGCATGGATGACTTGGGCCAAAGGGTCTGTTTCTGTGCTGTACATCTCTGTGACTTCAACTCCTAAAACCCACAATTCCCATAACTTGGTTTTTTTTCTGCAGTTTCCTTTCAAAGCATCCCTTTCCTTTTGTGAGTATCCTCCTCTCTCCTCCTGTGATAGGATATTTTGGTTAAGGAATGGAGATGTGTTTTTGAAGGAAATTGGCAATTAAAATTAGCTTCCCCGATAATGGGGCCAACTGCAAACAAAGATCAAATTCCTGGAAATCCTTCCCTAACAACACAGTGTGGAATATTCACCACATGGACTGCAGTGGTTTAAAGTAATACTACTAGGAATGGGATTGCCAGTGGTAGTGGTTAAGCTAAAATAAAAGCAGGGATATGGGTAGGGGAGGGGGGGTGTGTGTCTAGTCAGTGGAGGGGGTGCAGGGAGGAGGAGGAGGAGACGGGGACACGTAGTCCGGGGGTGGGGGGGTGTCATGTCAGTGGAGGTGTCGGGGGGGGGGGGGGGGTGGGGAGAGGGGAGGGGGGGGGGGGAATTGAGACGGGGGCGGGTGGAATTGAGACGGGGGCCGGGGGAATTGAGACGGGAGCCGGGGAGGACGCGGGGGCCTGAGACGCGGTCCAGCGCGGGGGGTGGAATTGAGACGGGGGTCGGGGAAAAGGTGATGGGGTAAGTCGGGGGGGATGAGGTTAGCGAGTGGAGATAGAGGGATGAAGCTGTGAGAACGCAGTCCAGGGCACCCCCATTGCCAACAATCTCCCGAGGCTGAGCCGGAAAACGGCCCGGGCGGCGGTGGGCGGTGGTAGTTACTCATCGGGACCGTCCAGCCGGGGACAACCCTGCCCAGACAGTCATTCACTCACCCCTCCACTCCGCCGTACAGGAAAACCATCTTCCGGCACCACTGAGTCTAATCAGGTGACAAAGGGAGGTGTAACAAATGCGATCATGTGACAGCCAGTGTCACATGACGTGCACGATCGGTGGAAGTGGATAGTCGGGCAGAATTGTTGAGAAAGGGGGAAGAGTGGGATGGTTGAGGAGAGAGAACTTTTGCTTCTATACTCGCAGCATTACCACTTCATCTGGCGTCGCCAAATATTTTGTTATTTGTTTTCTCCTCTCCATTTACTTCCCAAATTTCCCCGCAGAAGGTGGTGTTAAGCCACCTTTTTGAACGGCAGCAGACCATTCGGTGTAGGTTCACTCACATTGCTGTTAGGGAGGGAATTCTAGGATTTTGACTCGGTGATCGTGAAGGAAAGGCGATATTGCTCCAAGTCCGAGTGGTGTATGATTGCCAGCTCTCCCTTGGATCACCTTCTGCAACTTGTATCCAAAACTTTATTTGTGGCAGGAAGCAGAATGTAATAATATAAAACAAAGAACTGCGGACACTGGAGATCTGAAACAAAACCAAAAATTGTTGGAGAAATTCGGCAGGTCTGTGGAGAGAGAAACAGAGTTAACATTTGGAGTCTACAAGGTGCAGGGCTGGATGAA